AAGCAAATTGGTGAGGTGAGTTGAACTTTCACATTGAAAACTTCCATTAATATAGACCGGTTTATGTGAACTGGTGTAATTTTTTAGTTGTTTCCTCCAGTTTTCTTAATGTGCCTTTTATATTTGGCAGCCATCAAATCGAACTCTATTTAACCAATGAGGGCAACTTATTCTCATTCATATTTGAGGATCTCATAATAATTAATTCGTCCTTTTGATGCTGTTTTTGCTTTTTTGGCTGATACTGTCTATGAGGAGATCAGAGGTTCGAACAAATAGGTGTATCTTTATAATAAATTATGATATCATACAGAAACTATTACCATTCAGTAAAAAACAAAACAAAACATTGATCTGTGTGAAAATTCCCCATGATAAAAGCCATGTTTTAGAATGCTAATTTCTAGACAAAATGCGGTACCTAACCACTTGGAAGATTGGTACATCGCAATTTTTTCTATCCCCAGTTCGTTATGTGATGTCTTTGGTAAGCATAGTTAATATCAAAAAGTTCTTTCAATCAGTTGCAACATTTTTCACAGGAGAAATTTGATATGAAATAACAATACTTAGAACACAATGCTTAGAATAGAACAAAAGTAAAACTAACCCCATTTTAAAATACTATTGACGATCAAGAATTAAAAATATCAAGGCTAATAAAATATTGGCTCGTAGAGCGAAAAAGTACTATAATCCTATTATTGGACGCTTTTAGTCAACTACTAGTAAAAATGATGAAAAAAATCACTTTTATACAAATTGTAGGCGTTTTTTACTTTTTTTTCGTCATATATTGCTTTTTTTCAAAAGTACGTGGAAGTGATTATAAATAGTCAGTGTATATTTTCGTGGGAAATGAGTGTAAAGTTAAGTGCAGACATTCATAGTACTGAAAGAGGTAAGTCTTGCTTCTGAGATGATCTAATTCTCACTAGAAAATTAAAGTAGTTAACGGTTATATTAATATTTATTGTAATACAAAGAAGTACAAAGGCGTCACCACAATAATCGATAAAGATCTCTCTCTCTCTCATATATATATATATATATATATATATATATATATATATTCGTTTCAGGCGTTTGCATATATTGCATTAAATAAAAAAATCAAAAAGAAAATCATCAAGTGCGTATTCCGATGAATCGAAATGAACAGGGCACCGAGCTGAAAGAAACACCCCGGTCCGATTAATTAAATATCTTATATATAGTATATTATAAATATCCATATTTACACTGCCTCCAGTGTGTGTGTTAGCAAAGACTCGTGTTGTACAGTAAATATGATGATATATAAAAATTATCCCCATCTACAAAAATGATCTCATGAAAAAAGGAATATCCTTTTACAGGTGTATCCGTTTTAGAGATCTGGCAAATGTATATGAGGTAGTACCAAAAAGAATTTGACCATGAAAAAATATGACATTAACTCTTAGTTTACACAGTATTACTTCGAAGAAAACTAGAAATTATATGTTATGGTGCTGCTCAAAAAGGGTATCAGTAAAATTTCGTACGAGATTCAGTTCCGGCAAAAATATGTCTTTACTACCTCGATAGACTTTTAACGAAAAAGCGATTGGACATTGAAAAATGTCCTGACTTGTATAGACGTTCATTTTATCCGTATAATCTTCGCTGTATTAGTAAAAAAAATTGGGAAAAGTTCTGATCTGACAAAACAACAACAAAAATACTATATACAACCGGAGAAATGAGGGTAATATTCTACAAGACAATGTGACATAATTTGAAAATCGTTAGGCGAAAAACATTAATTTTAAAAATTATCAAAAATTTGCTAATTATCAGATTTGAATAAAATGGCAGCTATGCTCCATTTTAAGTCTGATCTGGCGCTTGTAAAGATAGAGAATAACGGGGGAAGTTAGATACTCACTGGAACGATACAAGGAAGAGATCATTTTCCAGCATTTTTAGCAATAGCTCTTACATATGAATTTCACTTGAGGTGTGGAGCTTGAGTGCCAATAGACGTTCTAGAAAATGAGCCTTCGAGAGAGGACATACATACATCATAATGGAAGTTTAGAGTATGCTCGATAATGGTGGAACGTTATTAGTTTGCTTTTGGACGTATTGATTTTTAAGAGCCAATCCCTTTTCCCCCAGAGAATAGGAATGATCAGCTGCCAGTTCTGTTCATCCAAAATTTGGGAGAGAAACGATAAACTGTTATCATATATATATATATATATATATATATAATTGTGTATATTTAGGCAGCAATTTTTCATTGATGCATGTTTCATTAAATAATATAGTGTCTATTTATTTTAAGTAAGTTCCTTTCATATTGTCTGATAAGTTTAATAACATTATCATTGAAAGACGAAAGGAAATCACCATTGATACATGTTTAAATCCTGTCTAAGCTTTCGGCTTACATAAGCCATTATCAAAGATGACATTTACATTTCAATATATCAAACAATACACGGACGAAACAATAATGATATTCTGTTTTTGTTTTGTATATAGTATATATAAAGTATATATATATGTATATATAGAGTATATATATATATATATATATATATAGTGTATATGTGTATTTATATAGTATATATATATAGTGTGTATATATATATATGTGTGTGTGTGTGTGTGTGACACCCAGCCGTTGGCCTGTGGTCAATTCCCAGTCACGGCGCGAAACTGTAATGTTTCTTCTATCGGCGTTTTGAGGTTGACTCTTTGTCGCCGGCACCAGCCTGTGTCCCGGTCGATCGGTGGTCGTCGCTACTCGGCGAACCCCCCCGAGGATACTAATATGGGACACTGGCCCGTCCAGGGTCGATGTTAACGGCTTCACCAGCTGTACCGATTCAATACCAGCTCTATCGTTCCCAGCTCATTTGCAACGTCTGGTTACTGGAATAACTGCTTCGATCTCAAGTCTAACCTACCCACGTTGTAACTTTGATCTTAGGTAGACGAGATCAATCAGGCGTCTGGCCGTAGTGTAAGCTGAGTTCATATTGAAGGTGGCATCGCACAAGCACAAAGAAAAAAAATAAATAAAAGAAAAACCCAAGAGGTTCAAGTATGTTAAGAAATAACAAATTAACATTATCCTTTCGTTATATACAGGAGTGTGTTTTTCTCCCAGCTCGTTTCCTACGAAATGTGACACTTCTATGTCTCAAGCAAGTTGGTATCGTAAGTCAACTAATTTAGTTCTTAGGTGTTGGCTTGGCTTCGTCGTCAGTATAACTTGCTATTGGTAGGATAGGCGAAGTCGGAGGTTGTGGAATCTCTCGGTCAGCTTCTCTGGTTAAGCTCTGACTAACTCCAAAACCAGCTCAACTGTAACTCGAACTAACTGCCGAACGACCGCAGGACGTTCGTTTATATGGGTACCGACCAAAACCCGATGTGGGGTCAGGCGCAGCCTGGGGTTCTCGGTAAATATCGATTTCTAACAAGGAAAATTGATTACTTTCCATTTTTGGAAAATTAATCACTTTCCATTTCGGGGGGTTCTCCGTCGTCCGTGAGCGAAGGTCGGGGGAGAGTTATCCTCCTAGACTCTTTCTCTCTCATATTGATATCTCATACCAATCACTTCAGTGGGCGTTAACAACTTCTCCTTTTTCATCCATTAACCTCCGCTTATCACCCATATTACCACCCGACCAATGATATCTTGGCCGCACGGGTGTGGCTAAGCTGGCCTCCTTAAAATTATAATCCAGAATTTTGTTTACAAAATTCTCCTTTTTCCCATCGGCCAAAATTTTTACGAATTCCATATTGCAAATTAAATTTCTATCATATCTTTTTGCCACCCAGAATTCACTTACCCAACACTCTCTACCGACCCATCAATCACTGCCAAAGTTTGCCATCTGGTCTTTTCGTTAAGTTAGCTTTATAATGGAATCCTTGGCTTGTTAGGAAATTAAATTCATTTATCTCGCCAAATCTCAATTCTCCACTCTATTTTCTGACTCATGCCAAAAGTTTACATACACACCATATTGTTATTCCACGTCGCAGCGTCTGAATGGACACGTTGATAAGGTAAATAATAACAAACCCCGTCACCTATGTTGAGAAAATGTCAAAATTTTACAATTGCCATATTGCTTCTCTTCGTCTGTATCCAAGAAAAAACAAAACAAAACAAAACAAAAAAGAACAAAAAAAAAAAAACGATATCTTGGAATATATAATTAACAATCTCGCTGCGTGTATCGGCGATCGTCTCAAGCCAAAATTTTTATGACCGACTTGTGGTTTGGCCGAAATCTTCATATTTGGCTCGGAAAGACAAAACAACCTGACAAGACCTCACACATGGCTTTTTCCACGGGTTTACTGTCTTTTGTGAAAAGTATCTTTTTCGTAAATACAATAAAATCTTTCTTTTAACGTCGATCAGTCTATCTTTCGTGATAGCTCTTTTTCGCCTTAAGTCTTTCCTATTTTTAATTTCTATGATTAATTAGTTAGCCAATTACCATAGCTAAATGGTGTCACATATATGTAGTGTACATACATATATAGAGTGTATATATATATATATATATATATATATATATATATATATATGTATATATATATATATATATATATATATATATATATATATATATATATATATATATATATATATATATATATATATATATATATATATATATATATATATATGTGTGTGTATATATATATATATATATATATATATATATATATATATATATATATATATATATTATTATTATTATTATTATTACCACTCCAGTTACAATTAGGGTACAAAGACCTAAAATACTTTTTTAAGTATATTAGGAAAATTATCGTCCGAAATGTATTAGTTAGAATAATAAAGATGCGGATATTAGTCCGAATAATTCAAGAGTTAGTACTTAATCTCATCACTTCTGACATAGAATTCAGTGATATTTGTTTTCTGCTTTCAGCTGATAAACATCTTCGTGACTGATGCCCTCCGATTGTATCTCATGTGCTTGATTTCGCCATATCTATTTTCGATTCCCTTTTACCTTTTCCTTGGACTTGGCTACTCAATCTATCTCATGAGAGAGTGGGGACTTTTGGCGGCTGCTATTTTTTTCGTCAGTTACGAACTACAGGTATTTTTTTTTTTAAAAATAGATGTTAATTCTTATATCAGTGTCTTTTTTCTTTGTTTCTTTTTTTTTTTTTTACTTCAGGGACATTTGTAGAATAAAACTTTAGGGTGCACTTTAAATTTTTAATGAAGAAAATTTGAAAATAGGAAAAGAAAGTTTTCTAAAAGAAGCAGTTATTTTTAAGACATTAAATTCATTGGTATTTCTAGGTTAAAAAAAATGAATATAAAAATAATTAATAATTCTTCTACTAACTTGGAGCTCACCTGGCTACCTTTCAGGTCGCATTAGTACACCCAGGTGGAACGGTTGAGTAACGATACCTTCTACAAAGATATATTTTGGACTTCATCTCAGAAGAAATATATCATACCACTGAAGATTAATCTCATTGTAACTTTGCACCTGGCTTCGGTTAAAGTTTCGCTATTAGAGAGACAGGTTTCCAGCGCTGAGGCTTACCTTTCGAGCCATTTAAGCTAAGTATAATCTGGCAAGAAGAAGAAAGTGTTGCGCCAGTCTTTCCGGAAGAGTGACTACTGGAAATGAGCATTTGAAATTCTGCTTTTATTATTTGCACACAAACACCAGTTGATTCGTGCAAATGAAAAATATGTAACTACTTCACCAGCCGAACAGTCCTAAAACGTTACCTTTTATGACGGGGTGCAAAAACGTTCTTGGTTCGACCAAAAAGATTAAAAAAATGATGCTTTGGCCAGAAGTGGTTTGGGTTGAGAACTTTTCAGCATTTTGTATTTTTAAATGTTGAATCATTGATTATTTTTTTTCTCTGTGAATATTTTAACTCGTATGTTATACACATTATAGATTTTGATTTAAATTGTCTCCAGAACTAATGAAAACTCAAGTAAATATCATCGAAATTTTCTGTAGACTATTTGCATGTAGGTTTGAGATTTAAAATCACATTCGTCTTCGTTTAAAATAATAATCACCTATTATTTAATAATGGTTGCGAACAGCATTTACCTCAAGATGATAAATGTTTTCAACTGAGCTAGCGTCCTTTGAAAATAAGAGATAGTTACAAAATCTATGATAGCCACTATGCAGTTACGATAAACTGGCTTTAACCTCGGCTGACAAGATATTTCACTGATACGACGTCACACAAATATCCTGGTATCAATTACTTCATAGTTTGAACATTGTCGGCGACACTGGATCAAAAGTAGGAAGTAGGTGTTAAAAATTACTGACTAAAACTTAAAAAAAAAAATTCTGCCATTTGTTTTAGTTACCTCCATCTTTTCGCCAAAAAAACAGCATAGCATGATGAAAAAAGGTCCCAAACTTAATAAAAAGCAGTTTTATCGTTAAAATGTTTTATTATAAAGAGGAAAGACCAAAGTATTTAATTATTTAAAAAAAATTAAAACCTTTCTAACAAGTTCGAAATTTTGGTTAAAAAAATTTGGTTGTTTTTGTTTTTTTTTTTACGTCAGCGAAAGACGTAATTTTTACCATTTTTAGTGTTTTTGTACTATTTTTCCGGTGAAAAACAAATTGGTTTGAAAATTCTTGCAAAAAATCAAATAATTGTTGGATTTGAATAAAACATTCGGAACTTATTCATAAATGAATTAAATTATTTTAAAATTTTTCTGTTTTAGAAAATCTTGGTAAATTTTTTTACATATGTTACCCGCCACATTTAATTTTATGAAATTCGCGAAATTGAATTTTATTTCCAAAACATTTTTCTTAGTTAAAAGTAGGAATCCTTAGAGAATGTAAATCTTCCAATTTTTTTTAAAACGACAACTCATTTCCCAAAAATCTGCTCCGAATGGTTAACTAAAAAAAATGTAATAAAATTATGGAATTACGTAATTAAAAAGCTTTTAATTGATTTTTTAAATAAGTTATATTAAGGACACTATCGTCTTGGGAAAAATTTTTTCGATGAAATAATGAATTTTTACAAGAATGCTTTCATTTTTTAAAATTTTAATTATAATAATTTAAAAATCGTTTAAAATTCTGCATTACTTTCTTTCTTTTAGGTGATATTGTAATTAAGTGGAAACTATATTTACCAATCAAAAATTTAAAAGCTTAATATAAATTGTTTTGCCCGAAGATTTTTAAGATAATTTAATTTTTTTTTTATTTTTATTTTTTAGTTTAAACAGTCCCATTTTGCATCTATGGAAGTCTATAAATGACATTATTAAAAGGTCATATGTTGTAAGCGTTGTATCAGTGATTGTGTCTCGCTAACTTAATGATGGAACAATAAAGATCAGACACACGTTTCTGCCATTTTTAAACCTAGTCTCCGATTTGTATATACTGTACAATAAATATTAATTTTCTCATTGGATTCATTTCGTTTACACTTTTTTGCCTAAAGGAGTAAAAAAAGAGTATTAGTTGTCATTCGAACGTTTTTAATTAAAGACTTTGATTAAAGATCTCTTTTTTTTTCTATTTTTTTAAGGTACTTTTATCCAGGTACATTGCAAACGTTAGAAGCGAAACGGTTTTCTTGACAGATGAAAGGGTAAGTGTCAAACACATTCTAATAATTATTTTCGGGATAAGGTGGCGCAGATACGTGCAAACGGTTCATGAGATGGCCCTGGAAACTAAAGTTAAATTTTATTCGTAACCATCAGTACAAACGGTTTGAGTCGAAGCGTGTCATCTGTGACTTTAGTCTTGTACTGAAATGAAGATTGTTCCAAGTGTGTACGCTTGACTTGCCTTGAATATTAGCATTCGAAATATCTTACCTGTATCTGAACCTCGATTTCTGTCATTGATGAGGAATACATAACTATTTCCGCTACAAGCTTATTATAGTTGTAGCTCGTATTCCTGTTCGTTAAGGCGGCTTGCAGACGATTGCTGAAGCATATTTTTATTTATTCAAAACTTACATAGCCCACACGTTGTCTATACTGCAACGATATCTTAGTTAAAGTTTCTGGGAGAGAGCGTATAATCTGGCATGATCAACAATTTGAACAAGGCCAGTGGGTCACGATGACTTGTGACTTCGGGCTAACACAAACATCGAGCAACTCCATCTACCTAATTTCACTTGCAAAGTTTCGGTTAACACATGGTATGGTTTTCAGGAACTTTCTAACGGTTTTGTATGCTGTGATCGCCTCTTCAAGCCGATTTCATCAAGAAGTCGTCTTTCTAATGGATCGTCCATGGCGAGGTTCGAACCCTGGTTTTTATGGTTGGAAAAAAAGAATATTGTAGCGTAGCAGAGTGGCTACAAAGTTTTAAAATTTGATATTTAATCTGTGTTCAAACAATACACACTATCAGTGGAAAAGGGCACAAAGCTCTAAACCATCAAACATATATAATCGTAATCATTTATTGATTTTGATAGTGTGCTACAGGGTCTTCGTGGTGGTCTCATGCAATGACCATCGAAATAATTACTAATAGCTTACGAGATTATTTTGTTATCGGCCACCTGAAATTCTTGGAGAAAGTATTAAGGGTAACGCGGAAGAACTGATAAATCTACATTTATAGCATGCATGACTTAAAACTAACGTTCAATCAATTGAATCAGCTCGAATGAGAATGGAAAAGACGTGCTTCTTAAACCACTTCATATGCATAATTAAGTTTTGATAAAATAAATTTTGATACTGTTGCTTTTTATCCCACCGTCCACATCATTATTCTACGGCTATTAAATAAACAGGATTAAAAATTACAACTTTCAATCGAATACTTAAGTAATAGTAAATTAACCAGTCGAAAAAATTCCATAGAGAAGAAGTAAATACAATTATTAAAAACTAACCCTACATCGCTGAAGAAAGTTAATGTTATGTAACGAGAATTTTGTATTGGCAATCTTTTTATACAACCGTACATAAGTGGTAAACATACCACGCAAAACAAACAAAACATAATTTTGGCCGTTTTATCAGGAACTGCTAATCGGGTTCAGGAAATGATTGAATGAATAAAACTTGAGAATCCATTCTCTGCACAAATACTGTCAATGAAATCGCAGCAAATCCTGCTATATCTTTTATCAGTTAATGGCCAATACAATCTTGATCATTTGGTTATGGATCTATATTTCTTAAAATATTTTTTTATAGAGGCAATATTATGATTATTTCTTAATACATTGATTCACTTGGGAACAGTTTATTGTCTTGTTAGTTTTTATTACAGCTTTTCGGTTTGTTGGAATTATTCAGATATCTGGCGCATTCGGTAACCTTGTGGAGGAAGCTTACCGAATGCAGTTGTCGAAAAGCTGTGAAATACACAAAGAGGAAGCGACTGTTCTGAATGAAACCATATAATAACACTTCGTTTTAAAAATTTAGTCAAAAATTATTTGTTTTAGCTTGAACAAATCTCATTTTTCTATTTTTTTTTTTCAGGTTCGAAAAATGTCGGAAATAGTAAACAGTATAAAATTAATAAAAATGTACGCCTGGGAAAAACCATTTATGGAGTCGGTGATGGGTAAGTGATTGATTTCTAAAATATTAACGGTTGTGGTTGGATATTATCTCAAAATTCAGAGTATTTGTTTCCGGTTATTACAGTCTCAGAAAAAAAAAAAAAAAAACTATTATTAATGGTTGAAAATGTCTCTCACTCACTCGCACACACATTAATAAACATTCCAGGATGTATCATGACAACGGAAGAACTGAATAAAAATTAATATTTTAATAAAAAGATATTAATACACTTTTCACTCCATCTTTTTCGGTTCATTTGTAGTTTTTGACATTCTCTGACAGTAGACAATATAATGTTTTTCTTTATACTGATTCTGGCAGATATATTCAAACACTGACAAAAGTTTCATGTTAAGCCGTATTCATAGCAACAAGGAATGACAATTTTTATTTCAAACTCAATAAAATTCTAACTATCATCGAGTTGTAATTTTGGCAAGTATCAAACTTTTACGCGTACTTTCGATACATAAGACTATTGATTAATAAATAATGAAAGATTTCTCCAATATAATTACTACTTCTGTTTCTTTAGTACATCCGCACTTATTGTAACGGGAATTACTTTCTTAGGAATTTAAACCATCGAATGGCGTTCGCGATCCGGTTGTGATCTCATTTAAAGTGCTAACTTCCCTCGAAAATGTATTAATCAAATCCTCTTTGTGTTTTGTCCTGTCGTTTGTGATATCGACATTAATATATTCACAAGTACAGAGAAAATAGTTAGTAAATGAGTACTGTTCTCCGTTCCCATCCAGATGAGGCCAATATTAGATGCTTGAGTTTCAAATAGATGATCGGGGACGCTTATTCATTCTTGGAGAAAAATCTATCCGGAATAATTTAATACTGTGAGAATCATTATTTTTACAGTAAGGGTTTGAATGTGTATAAGTGATGGGTGATGAATCTATAATTTCTATGATGATGATCTTTATCACAATCTGTTTTAAGGTTTTATTGTCCCAGTTTTTTACCTTTGCAATGTGTATTTCATTGATATCTGCATCTGATGTCCATCTCTCATCATCTTTGTTGTTGCTATGTAGATGTCGCACACTGACGGAGTCAACGGAAATTCTGTTCTTAAGGTATGGTACCAACAAGACTCCTCACGACTCAAGTTTTCACAGAATACTCGTAGAGTTAATAATAGCGGTTTTCAGGGTTTACGATCTTTGTCTCAATTCCAATTGTCCCTAATTTCTTTTTGCAGTTTTTTGGAGTTCACTCTTGTCTCATATCGAGCAGCAAAATCACTTATTATTATTATTATTATTGATATATGAATAAACTCTTGCAGCAATACGCAAAAAAGAAAAGAAGCTTCTGCAGCCTTCAACGACTTTACAGAGCATCTCAACTGGAATTGCACCCGTCATTCCTACTTTGTCTTCAGTCATAACAATTGCATTGTTTAGGGCAACCGGACATCGTATCAGTGCATCAACGGTAGGTACATCTTATATATGTTATACCATCTTATACCAATGTCCCTGTTAGTGAAACTATTGACATAATCATAAGAAATATATACAGTAACTCATCTTTACCCCCACTTAAAATTAATCCTAATATATTAAGAAAACTACTATTAACTTGTACTACTGAAGTCCCTTTCTTCGATCATAATAACAATATATATATACAACGTGATGGTGTCTCCATGGGTTCAGTATTGGGCCCGACATTTAGCAACTTCTACATGTCGAACCTCGAAAATAAGTTATTTACAGATTTTAAAAAACATCAATCTACCTAAGATACGTTGATGATATTCTTATGTTAGTTAAAATATAGATGAAATAATTCAACTTCAAAACGGTTCCAAAATAATTCTGTCCTTAAATTCACATATGAACTCAATACTACTAATAAAATCCCTTCCTTGACATATTGATAAACACAAATAATAACAAATTTACTATTTCGCCATACAAAAAACCTACAAGCATAAATTCATGTACACTTAACTACAAGAGCGAATGCCCATATTACTACAAAATAGCAATTATAAAGAATCTAATACATCGTGCAGAAACTAATTCATCCACCAAACAGATTTTTTTACAGTGAACTAAAGAATATAAAACAGACACTTATTAATAATAGCTTTCCAAACTATATAGTTGATGAACAAATAAGATGCTTTCTTAGAAATCTCAATAATAAGCAAATTGTACATAATACTGCTTCTACTGATCTCAAATATATTAATCTCCTATATCGTAATCAAATGCATACTAATTATAAACAAGATGAACACATACTAAAAAAATTTAGTAAATTCTAATATATCAACTACAGATCCTAGCAAAAAAATTAAATTAATCATATACTACACTAAATCTAGTATATCCAACTTAATACTTCGCAATGATTCTTCTCCTCCGGTTAGCGATTTGCAAAAAACAACAGTTTATAAATTCAAGTGCCCTTTGGGAGAGTGTATCTCCAACGAATTAAATAATATTTATGTTGGTCACACCACAAACTCGCTTTCACGACGCTTGACACTACATTTTAATGAAAACTCTAACATTTTTAGGCATTTAAAACAACATGCCTGCCCGCACACACAATTCCGTAAAATACTTGTCGAAAACAACTATAATTCGACATGAAAACAATAGACAAAAACTAAAAATACTTGAAGCATTATACATCAAACAGTTAAAACCCAACCTAAACAAAATCAACTATGGAATCTCTACAAATATTCTTAAATGTCTATAATTTCTATAATTGGTAACAGAAGCCATTGGTTTATACCAACGGCTTTCCTTATTTCATTCTACAATTCACTCTCGTGTAGTCATGTGTGACGTCATGAGATGCGGTGCGATTTTCGCTTCTAGCGTCTTATATGCGCGTGTTCATCGTTGCTTAGTGATCCACTATGTAAACAAAACAATGACAGACTATCATCACTGTCGTGTCCGTATATTGTTTGATATGTTTGTAATTACATCTTTGATAATGGCTTGAGTAAGCCGAAAGCTTAGATTTTATTAAAAAATAATGGATAAATATTGTGAATTTCTTTTTCGGTTAATGATAATGTTATCAAACTTATCAGAAGATACGAAAAATTTTTACATAAAATAAATAGACAACACTTGTCTATATTATTTAATGAAACGTGTGTATATATATATATATATATATATATATATGACGATTTCAGTTGACTCAAATTTTATATTTCTTGACCTGTGTTCAAGTCTTGATAATAGTCAAAATTGTGAATGTGACTTTAAGGCAGGCAGATTCGTATTGCTTATGGAAATTAACGATACGGTTTTCACATCTGTTTGTTCATATTCTGGTAAAAATCTGTAATGATCACATGTTAGATATTTGCATAACTAAGTTGTTTGTTTCACTTATGGATATAATATTTACCGGAAACGTATAATTTAATTATTAGCCACTAATAATTTTCTGCACAACGTGTCGATTAACTGCCAAAATTTATTAAAATAAGTTGTAGTTAAAATTATGAAACTATTTGAATCATCAGTTTTCCCCTACAATAAAATAATATTCAGTTACAAAAAATGACTAAACTTAAGCGAAGAAGGAATGGCGTAGTAGTAAAATCAAACCATAATGCCGAAAAAAGAAAACCTAAATGTATATCAGGTTCAAATGCTTTTTTTTATTATTCATCCCCGTAATCAAAGCAATAATGTCACTAAGACAAAAGAGTTACTGAGAGGGAAAGAGAATGAGAAGACTTTAATGAGGAGAAAGGACAATGAAAGAAGTTTCAGGAAGACGGAAAATGGTAATTCGCGTTGCATTTAAATCTTTAGGTGGCAGAGAAGCAAAGAATCGGAAGAGTTACACAGGGGAGAAATGCGAAAAAATAAACTATTAGACTAGAACTTAGGATTACATCTAGTTATTTTAACAGTAAAATTAGAAGACCTAGTAGCCAATCTAGCAGTACGCTTAAATTCGTGTGGTCGAGGCACCAAGGAAGAAAGATCATGAGAACAATTGCCATAAAAATGCTTGTAGAAAAGACAGAAGGAAAGCCACGTCACAGAAATAGGAAAGTAATTGAAGTCAATATGTCGGGTCAGAACGGATAACATTACAGACTTTTCTTTGGATTTTATCTAGAATCCAGAGATAAATAGTAGGCGCATCGGATCAAATATAGCAGCAATATTCAATTAGCGCCAAAATATGCTCTGTCAAGGTATAAAGTGAAATGCCTCCAAATTTGAGACATATTCCTATTAACGTGTAACTTTTGCTTTGAATAATGACAGCTACGCAACGTGGTATGGAGTTTAAAAGGTGCTGGAGTTTACAAAATGTTGGAGTTGTTGCATATTCTCTGTTTATCCGTAGGTTATTTGTTTTGATGTGGCTTCAGGGAATTAATGTCTGAAACATGTTCCATACATGCTTAAATCTGGCGACAGGAGTACCTGGAAGTCAGCCGAGTATTCTTATAATCAGTTTCGAATCCTTCACCTGCTATAGGGTACAAACATATCACATATATCAAACAAACCATCAAAGTATAGGTACAAACTATCAACACTGGAAAACATGTTTAGTATAAAGAGATAAAATCACACCTGTCAATACAGACTAATTTCACTGGTAGTCTTGGCAAACGCCACCAGATCACGTCATAAACCATTATATAGCTACTCTTGCCTTGTGCAACGCTCAAGTAACAGTTTGGATGCGTTCTCTTCTCTGCACAAACTCGACCGCCTAACAGTTAGGCTGAAAGACTGAAAGAGCTGGAAACCTGATTAGTCTAATCAGGCAACTGTACCATTCTTCCACGGTTCAATGGCAACGTTCACTGGCCAATGTGGGGTGCAGTGATGTTAACTGGTACAGTTGTTGATTTACAGCTACGAAACCCCATGGTGTATGCAATACAGTGAGTTGATTGATAGGCTGGACGGTACTATTCTATTGGAATGTGTGCAATGTTCCTCTACGTGGAATGGTTACTATCGTCGTTAGTCGCCACCATTCCCGTTCTTGTATTATCCGGTAAGTGCCTACAGTTTTCCTGTGTCGCTGATGTCTGTTAAGAATTCTAATATTCTTGATATATACTTTCTACTGTTATCTACGACAAACATGCAACGGTTGCCAACTCGGAGGTAGAATGTGCCATTTTACTGGCTCCAACAGTTTTGCAATCAAACAGTATTAAACCCTATTCGCGTCTCAAAGCTACCACAGCTATACTGCCGCTTTGCTTATTATGCATATGATATATGGCTGAGTCAGTTTCTACAAGAGGAAGAAAGTGAAACCATACATTCTGGGAGAAATTAAGTTTGTCGTCATTATGAATAGGTGTTTACACATTTGTATATCAGACATGTGATATCATAGGTTGCATAACAGCTTGTCTTAATTTCCAAAATATAATAACTGAACTCTAGGTGGGTTAATATCAATTTCCTTATTAAAGTTATTTCAATGATTTTAATCTCCCCTCCACATGAGCTCGGGTCGAAACTCCGGCTTGTATTCTTGAGAAGCATTCTTTACTCGCTTCATTTCAAACATTTATGTATTCATCTATTTTGTTTGAGTCTTTCTTCAACTAAGATCATTCGAATTTACCAGTGTTAAATTGTACAGTTCCGTATAATAGCGTGTAGAATTTTCTTCGTTAATACGAGTCATTTTGCATTGTAGGCTTTTGCATTCATAGGGGCTCTGAATTTCTTGCGGGCTATTCTCAACATTTTACCCTGGGCTACCCGTTGCATGTCAGAAGCTAAGATTAGCCTTAGGAGAATGCAGGTAAGAATATTAGTTATTAATTTTTACCATTTTTTTTTCCTCATCTGTTGTAACTTTTACCACAGTGTTCTATGTCAAATCACCGAGCGTTGAAATAAACACAGTGAAATCGGAATAAAGTAATTGCTTCTGACGAAAATTTAACTCTTATTTCATATTCGTGGAGTTATCTTACAATAATGTCGCCTTAACCAGTTTGATCATGGAAGTCTAATTTGTAGTCATGATTATTCTCGCCTTATTTGTTTACAAACTGGGAACAATAGTAGCAATAACTTAAAATTATTTCCATTATTTATTTTTTATTAGTTGATTTTATCACGACATTCAAGATAGTTATTCTGTTCGTCCGTTATAGATGCTCATAGTTATGTGGCAATGTCGGTATTGCCTAATATATTTCTCCCAACAAATGCATATTTACTAAGATTAACCTAGTTTGGTTCGAGACCGCCAATATCGAACGTCGATTGAATTTATAGTAGTAACTAGTAGTACACGTAAATATTACGCGTTTTTTTTAATGAATTTTCTTATGAATCTTAATTCTTAAGTTAATAATTGAATAAGCTCGCTGAAACCAAACAGTCTGTCTTCGCGCTCAAAACGGAATAGTTCATTATTTATGAGTCGTTGTCAGGCCTTAATATAACTAAC